ACAAAAAGGTGAAGACAGTTGTTTTTCACTTGGGTAAAACAACTGCCAGGGTTACACATTTTGGCAAAACACCTTTGTATAATATCTAAAAGATGAACCCACACAGAGAATTGAGGGAGGATTTTTGGCTCTTGTTTGCAGATAGCTTTGTGCCCTTTTAACTTTCCTGTCAGTTTGTATTGATATCAAGAACAAATACACTCTAACAAAGACATTATGAGTCAGAAATACATAAATAAAGACTTGGATTGGGCTTGAGATGGTGTGTGGGTTTTCCTCTCCTTCTTTCCCTTTTAACATGCTTGGATACATGACAGCAATTTTTTAATATATTTTCTTTTCACAAGCTGATTGATTACAATAGACATAAAGCTTAAAATACAATGACAGCGTATCAGTTGTTGTGTCTTTTTCTTACCCATTGCTATAGGGATATCTGTCCAGTTCAGGGCACACTTCTGGGTGCACACTCCCTCTTCATTAAGCACCACAGTTAGGTCATCCTGCCCAACAGCCACCTTCCCATCTGCCAGTGGAGCAACCAGAGGTTCTAATTGTTTCCCAGTGGGGAAGAGCTCTTTTATGGAGCCACGGCCATCCATCTAGTTGACAGCAAATGCAGTTTGAATGAGTCCGTGAGATTCAGAATAAAGTAATAATATCCTAGCAGTGTTAAAATGATCTGTGAGACTGTTATAAAGTGCTTTACAAAGACAATAAAACACTATTAGGGAGATACATCTATATTATTAACAGACTTTCTGGATGTAGCTGATAAAACAAAAAGAGAGAAGCATGAAGGAAAAAGTCTTAAAATAAACAAAGTCAAGCCATTAAAAAAAGAAGACAGGAACTCATTATATAACTGTCTGCTTCTAGAAAGTGGCGTAAAAACATCACCCTCAGGTATTAATTTAACTTCTACTCAGCAAACCGGGCATAGAGATGAAAAGGGAAGATGTGAAATATGAGAAAGGTTTCTGTGGATATTTCTTTTCTTTTGACAAGGAGTTTTTCCACAATTAAAAAGACCCATTATGGCTGGAAGAATCATTTTAAGTTCTAAGCACATACAAGTAAGTTAAAAAGTAAAGAAGCTGCTTGCACCCCTTTTCTGTAACACATACCCGAATGAGGTAATAGTCTCTCTTGAAACCAACACATATGGAGTTTTCACACCAAGCCATTGACTTTGGAATATCTGGTGCAGCAAAGTCCCCCTGACAGACGAAAGGAAAACATTAAAATGGCTAAATGTGTCAAAGCGCTGGAAAATTCTGTTAAACTTGAATCACACTATAATGAGTCACATGTCCAGTATAAATTACCTGCAGCTCATGAAACTCTCTGTCCTTCCAGTAATACAGCTGAAGTTTCTTTTTCACTGCAACACACATTCTCAGCTGTTCCTCCCCTGAGCTGGTTTGCTGAGAACAAAAAGAGACGAAATATACAATTCGTGAGAGGACATGCGAGGCAAAATATATGTCCAGCACAGATGAACAAACAAGACAAAATATTGCAGCTACTGTATAAAAAACTAAGAAAATGTTCAGGGTTTTTACATATTTAGCACAATTAAATACAAATTGTGTTTTTGGCTACGTTCACACTGTAGGTCTTGATTCTCAATTCTGATTTTTTGATCAAATCCGATTTTTTTTGTCTGCTTGTTCACACTACAAATAAAATGTGACAGCAAACGCGCTCTAGTGTGAACCCTCAAAGCGGCCTGCATGCGCAAAAGAAGACGTCACACACAACGCGCTCTGTTTAGACCCAGACCGAACAGTATTGTTTGACTGATGGCCCTTAATATAAAGACTTGTTTCTGACTTTACATTTCCCAGTTTTGCTTTAAGTTATTTTATTATTTACATATGGCCTAATAATTATCCTTATTGCTGTTTAAGAGAGGAGCTGTGCTTCAAAGGATAGTTGCAGATTTCTGTCAGCATCTGCAGATTATACAGTACAAATAAAATGTTCACGTTTCTCCAACGTTGTCTTCCCAACAGTTTCACTGACATCTACACTGGATGGCCAGGAAGCGTTCACGTTGTCTTCTCGGGCGCTGATGATTGGCGTCTGTCGTGTGTCAGTGACGTAAAAGACGGATTTAATGCGACATGACCGTTCAAGCAGCAGTCGCTTTCTAAAACATCAGATATGTATCAGATTCAGGACCACATACGAAAGTGATCCAGATCGGATTTGAAAATATCGGATTTGTGCCGTTCACACTGTCATACCATGATCGGATATGGGTCGCATAGGGTCAAAAAAGTCAGATTTGATGCGCTTTCTCCTGCAGTGTGAACGTAGCCTATGTCACTCCTCCATATGTATGCTACTTTACTGTTTTCAAGACACCAACTGTTGTCTTAAATCAGATGACAAAGGCAGAGTTGAACTAAGCAATCACGTTGCTTTTTATTTCTATTGTTAAGTGTTGAAAGAGAAATTGAAAATGTCATGTTAGTAAGCAGCACCATGGTAAACCTCAGATTTACTTCCTGTATTGATGCCATCTGTTGAAGGACAATGAAATCCAGAGGATTATAATTACCTAGGTCCTCGATTTGCTTCTGTAAAGTTTGTGAGTTGTGTGAAAACACATTCGAAAGGCTACTAAAAACAGTCAGAAGTAAGACGAATGGTCTAGGCATGCTCAGTTTGATTTGGTTTTGCTTGTAAGCCATTATACTCAAATTTCCACGGCCACAAATAACTCCAAACTTTGAATTTAGTTCACTTTTGTCTTAAATGGTTCACAAACATGCAGCTGTATGTCTCGCAGTGTACACAACTGTTCAGGTGAAAACTGGTTTTGCTTTCATTTGTAATGGGAAGCAATGTGTGCAAGAATATGACTGCAGAAACAATACCACTACTAGAAGGAGAACTGGATACCCGACTAAAAGAAACCACCAGCTCACATCAACAGAAACTTGTTTGACTGCAAGACCAAAAAAAAGTTCAAGACTAGCTTTAAGTCTTTATCCTGCTTTAGCCCCCTACATTTCCCTAGGAGACTGCTGCTCTATTGGTACACATAGTTAAGACATCACACACAAAAAGAACTTATAAAATATAATAAAAAGAGAAGAACTTAATCCTGTTTGAAGCTGGAAGCCCTGTCTACCTCTGTTATAGAATTATAGTCTGTGAGGGAAAATACTTTTGTTTTTTTTTTATTGCAATACCACAAGTCACCACTGGGAGATAATTGACAGCTGATAGGTCTTATCTATCCTCTCTTACCACATGCTAAGTTACACAAAACAGGGGTCTATTGCTGACCTGCAAGTCACATGCAAAGAGTGTGGCTCCTTTGGCTTTGGACACCACAGTGATCTGCTGGAAGGTCAGGAGGTCATGGACATGGATGTTGTTCTCTGTGGGGATGTTTAAATCGGTTTGTTTAGTTGTCACGTTAATGAAGAACTGATATTAGTTTGAAGCCTTTACAAGCCCAAGGTTCCCCCAATTTTTACTTTACATGACATTTTAACTCTGTAAAAATGTATTGCTGAGAAAAACTTACCCAGGAGACTGACAAGAATTTTGTACTGTGAGACAACATAAAGCTGGAGAAAAAAAACACAGTTAAAGAGATAAACACACATAAGCTGGTCAACAAACAGAGGTGAATAATTTTAAATTCTAAATTTGCGGTTAAGCGACTTAAAAAGTCAGATACCTGCTGAATCTTCTTTGAGAAGTTCTTGTTGGATTTTTCCAGTGTGACCTCAAACCGGTTGCCTCCTAAGATAAAAAAAAAAAAAAGAAAAAGAAATGTGTTCATCAGAATTACTTAAATTGGTATTTGAAGTGTGCAACAGAAAGGTAAACCGGCCTCCAAATGGATAACATCCCCCTTCGGTCTCCTTACCTGCATCCTTCTTTATTCGGTACAGAAGGAGATGGCCTGGTTTTGTTCCTACAAGCAGCCAGTCCTCTGTAAGGAAGTCGGTACAAAAGATGCGGTCAGTTAATTTCAGACATAACGTTTTCACATAAGTCTGAGATGTTACCTGTGTTCAGTGGTGAAACAACTCATGATTTCTTGACAACTTGCAAGACTGCACTTCGATAAACAGGGGTACTATTTCAGTGTCACAAAATTAAAGAGCAGCCGTGGGACCAAAGTGTCAACAACTCACCCCAGGCTGCAAGGCAGTCAATCTGAAGAGGAAGCTTTTCCAGAATAGGTACAGGCTCATATGCGTCGTGCATCTTGAAGCGACGCTAATTCAATCTCACACACCCCTCTGATATATTAATCCCACACGGGGCGGACGCCTAATCGCTGATAAATCTGTCCGGGGGTACAGCTTTACATGTCGCCATAAACTAACACAGTTCAGTTTTGCTTTTTTTTGGAATGGCCAATACGGAGAACTGATTAGGTAATGCAATGCAGTTTGGCTTGTTAGCCACCTTCCTCCCTGACCAAAACAACAGCTGATCGTTAGCCTTTTAGCTAAGAAGTGAGCAACTATCGGCTCCCTCTCACTGCAACTGAAATCTGAGCGAAGACTGTAAGTTAACAACTGCGCAACTGCAATTAACCTAAAATGTTTAACCACAAACGCTATATAAACCGCAGCAATTAGTTTTCGTTAGCCATGTAGCTTCTTGTTACTTCCTTAGTTGTTTTGAACACGGCTGCGCGAGCTGCTGGGGTTTGACAGGCACGTGACTGAAGTATGTGAGCTCACGAGGAACGCATTAAAGGCGCAGTGGCTTGCATTAAACGGTAAGTTGAACGGTTATTTTGCACTCTCGCGAGGTTTCGTACGAAAAGAAAAACCAGTATTTATGACACAAATACTTAAATATTATATATTTTTTAAATTTAGATTTCCAGGATTTAAAGGACACTCCTACTTGTTTTTTTTAAAATAAAATATTCTAGAAAAGAACGCGTTATAATTGTGATATATATTTAAACGTGTCTTTTAGAAAATCAAAATAATTCTAAGTTTATACAAAACTTACATTTCAACCATCTTTCAATATAAATTTATTTGCAGGACATACGCAAAAAGCCATACAATATTATCAGCTTCACAATACAATGCAGACTCAAATCCAGACACAGGGTTTTAGTGTCTCTCTGAAATAAAATATTGTCAACAAGATTTAGACAAATAGAAAAAAACCAAACATAGTTCAGAACTTTAAAATTATCCACACATACTGCAGTAGATCACACAAGGATGAGGATTTATTCCAGATAAGGCTATTTTTGAGCGTAGCTGGGAAAGGGTCAGAGAAATCTGTAACAATGGTGAAATGATACTCCCCTGTGCTACTAAAGTAAACAGAGAACCTAAATAAAACTCTGGACCTGTTGGTGGAGGGGGTCGGAGAGCACATTTTATAGACACACTAATTTACATGTATATTTTTCAGCTATCCAGGTTCGTTATTCAGTGGCTAGAAAAAAAGTGTTCACTTTGGTGACTGCAATATCTAGTGTTTCTAGATCTATTATATGAAATCAAAACTATAAAAAAGTTACTTTTCATAAAAATGTAAATAAAGCAGGCTTAATTTTACTACTAATGCTTACAAACAGGATTTTACTTTTTCTACACTTATCAACCAATTAAATATAGTCAAATTTCAACTCACTTAAACTGATCAGTGTGTGGACGACATCCTGAAGAAATGATCTGACATGTGTCTACAAAATGAACACGCCTCATACGGTTTTATTACAGTTAATTCCTTGCATTGATATAGCTCCATAACTATCGTTATATGCTCCCAGATCAACAGATGGGGCTTATTTTCTGGACGACGGTGATATCCTTCAAGTATCAACATGACAGATTTTAACAGTGGCTTAACTATTTTGATATTCAAAATGACCCAGTTAGCCAGACACTACAGTAATAATGTGTTAACAATTAAACACACATATTTGTTGGTTAAGCATTAAAACATTTGCTTTTAGCTGTCTGGCTAAATGGCTAATTGTACAATAGAGTTACTTGCACATTTAAATATTAAATCGTGTGATCAAATAAATATGTAATGTAACAACGCATCTTTTTTACATATATGGCACAGCACTGAAGATAACCTATTGTTGATTAAGATGCTGCAATGGCTTAAATATAATCCTATTATGAAACTACTTTAATGTTTTCAGTTATGTTCATTATCTTCCGTTTGTAGCATCATCCGATATCTTGGCTTTGATGATGGCCAGGCATCACGAGTCATACCTGACTGTGTTCCAAAAAGGACCTCACATTCCTACAACTCTGACCCGTCCAGGAGTTATCTGTGCAGTCTGAAGTGGTTGGAGCTTTTGTCAAATATTTTGATCATCTATCCCTTGCACTGGATATCACATGTTTCATTAAATACTTATAATTGCACAGTATGGCGTTAATATAAGAGCTTACTGTAGTGTTACCGAAAGCCTGTGAAATAAAAGGTTGTTTTTTTTTTAAAGTGTCTGAAGAAAGAACAGATATGCATCCCCCCAACATTTTTGGTAATCAGATCACTCATTGCTGCCTCAGTCGAATTCCTCTCTTTTCACTCTCAGATCGTCTTCTACTCCATTTTGGACCTCTCCATCTTGGTTTTCAAGATTTCCTGGAAAAAAAAAAACACAGCAGTGTGGTTGTTAAATGATGTCACAGTAAAAGGTCAGGACTTTAAATAGATTAAAGTGTGAGTAGAATCATGGGACTAGCATGTGTAAAGTAAAAAGGCTCCTTACTTCTTCCTCATCTAGCATTACAGGGAGAGCTCTGTATGGAGGGGAAAAAGAAAAAAAACAGAGAAAGAGGCCATGGATATACCACCCACATCAGGAGTAAGTCAAACACTATGAATATGGCTTGAATAACAGCAATATAGTACTTTTCCACATTTCCATCCAAATGTCATTTAGTGTAGCAGTTTTTCACCAAAATAAAAGTTTACTTACACATCAGCAACAGTAGTAGGAATGTTCTCCTCAACCCACTTTAGATCTTCATCCTGACAAAAAGCACAGTTTTGAAACACAGAATTAAGTAAACATGACAATAACGCAGGAGAGAAAATGTCAGAAGTCAACCTACCTCTTTACTCAACATTTTCTGGGAGCCGTTAATGTCAGGCTTTGCGCCTCTCATCTTCATTCCTTCTGAAAAATCAAGAAAAGGCAGTTGAAATCATTTACTCTGATACTATTAAATGATTATAAATTTCTCAATTAACGTCTATACAAACAGACTGAGAATGTGTCATTGGGTTAAACAAGGTTTAACAAAGCTCAGACAGGAGGTTGTCAGTAAAGGATGTGAGGAAAATTGTGATTATTTGGGTTTATTAGAGCATACAACAGAAGATACAAACCGCTGGAAAACATTTCTGTGATCTCTGTCGTTTTATATTTTTGTGTTATACAAGCCTACTGGCCTCAATTCTACACTTAAACACTGTTACTATAGGATAAAAAACATCCTGTTTGTGGAACCTAAACAAAACTGATCAAAATGTAAAGAATCAGCTGGCACAAGATGACAAGCCGGCAGGATACTACATTTATGGCAACTAACTGTTTTACACAACCAAGCTTATCAAAAGCTGTTTTACCTTTTCTCCCAACACACAGCACTAGAGTTTAATAAAACCAACATTTTTCTAAGCAACTTAACTGTGTAACACAAATGAGCATTCAGTTTCTTTTTCAAACACTGTTTAATATGGCAAACACTTGTCTGGGGCTTTAAATTACAAGAGGAGTCAAATGTCGTACCAAAGGCTTCGTTCAGCATGGGCTCCTTGGCTTCTTCCTCTTCATCATCATCATCAATCAGAGGGGAATGGGAGAACCTGAAAGGAAACACCACATAGGCTGAAACCTTTATGAATCGCGTTAACCGCGAGCTTACACAGAGGTACTTTGGCCCAAATTCCATACTGACGCTGACCTCTGATTGTTGGCTGAGGGCCGCAGCAGCACCATGATGACCAGAAGAATAGTGGAGAAGAGCAGGCGCCAGAATGCATCATCTACCCACAAGTCCCTCCAACCCTGCAGAAAGGATAAGGACAGATTTCAGGGGAAAAGCAGTGAAATCCAGTACAAGATAAATATAACTCAGCCAAAAGAGAAAGCAAAATGACCCTCTGACAGTCGACCAGCTTGAAGACCTTGGTGGTCCAGATGATAAATATGATAGAAGCTGTGGACACAAAATAAACACCAAGGATTTAGATGACTGTAAACAGAAATACACGTGTTTCGCAGAAACTACAGCACACAAACAACAAACTGACCTGAAGGGAATTCTAGCCACAGCATTGGTAAACTGGAGATGTGTTTTTTTTTTAAATGAAACAGATGTGTTCAAAAAATATTTATCACATATGGAAATACGCAGATTCCCTTTCTTGTAAAGGGTTAAATGAAGATTGGCCACACTGACAGCTACATAGTAAACACAAAGCAGGAGACTGGAGCTTAAATACAAGTTGGTAACAGAAGGAAACAATAAACCTGATTTCACACGAGTTGATAATAAAGTACAAAAAGGCTAATGAAGACAAAATCAGCCCTCAGTTAGCACTATAACTCATTAACATGTCATGTTTTGTAAATCAATAGAAAAACCTAGTTTTTCTAGGAGAAATTAGCTTTTTTTTATATAAGTTATATTAGTTTCATTACCTTTATACAGAAGTAGGTTTACATGTTTAGCTTAGCTCACCAGCTTCCAGCACCCTCCACAATAAAACATATTTTCCAAGTCTGACCACATCTTACAGAGGAGCAAGTGCAGCACATTTCTACCATTTCATAATTGGCTTCATAGTTTACGGTAATCTTTTGACTGATGGAAACGTGGAAGCTAAGCAGACCCCAGTACAGCTGTAACTCACCGACAACAGAGAAGATGAGCGTTTTAGTGAAGTGCTGATATAACGAGAGCTTCACTATATTTCTGCGGAGCTTGAGGAGACGAGTGGTTTGAGACAAGCTGATGAAAATGTAAATGCAAATTAAGGAAAACACTGTCTATGGACAGCTTCTAAATAAATACAATCAAATGCCTATATGTGCAGTGCTTGTGATAATACGAATCGCAGTGACACCTGAGCAGTCATCAGGCTAGTTGATTAAAGGATATCCACCACATGACACAGGAGTCAATGAGGGAAAGGCTGAGATTAGCCACAAGGGCAACAGTCCCGTAGAAGCCCTGTAGGAAGATGACAAGAGACACATTTCAGAAGAAGATCTGTTGAAAACTTAGAGCACAAAATAGAGCAAAGACTGACTGTGAATCAAGCAACTAAAGAATTAAACCAGCAGTGTAGTTCCTTTAATGTCCACTTGAGGCCGACTCCAAAAACTAGTCAATCTCCTTTCAAAAGAAAAGATCTGCTGTAGCCCAGTGATTTGGTAGAATCTTTTTGCTCCTGGAGAATGACTGCAAAAAGTTTTGTTGGCGTGACCAAACTGACCGTAAACACTCAGATCAGTGAAAATTTGCATATAAATGCCGTCAGATATCCAACACAAGGCAATCAATCTGAATCAGTCTGTAGCGATAAGCCAAATTTGTCTGCAGGACATCTCTTTGCAATAATGGACTCAACTGAGCTGCTGGTACTCTGGTTAGTGAGCACCTATGTGATTTTTGCAGTCAAATCTCCATCCTGCAGCAATTACGTCACTACTGGTGGAGGAATTTCTGTTTCATATCTATGAAGTTCTGACTAAACTCATGTGAAAATGCTCTTTTTATAACTCACCTGTTTCACCTGAGTCGTGCATTATTATGGGTGTGGCTGCTTTATCTGACAGACAGATGTAGCTGACACTTTCTGCTAGGCTTCATCTGTGTTAATTGACAGTCACTGAACTCGAACACTCAACTGTAGTGGTATTTATGGTGACTTTCAGAGCATTTAATTATGTTTTTAATGTGGTTTTCTGCATGGTTAACTGTACTAACAGCTCATTCAAGAAGTCTGTGCTCTGGCAAGTGAAACTTAGGAAGTATCTATGCCTGGGGATACAGACTGCTGCACAAGTTTGCAACCGTTAGGTGAGGATTTGGCACTCCGGCATCTTATTTAAATATGATCACCTCGAGCACAAAAGAAGAAAGGTGACGTGTACATGCTATGAAAGTGTTGGGTAAACATGAGCTTGTGTTAAGATTACAAAACACATTCTAATCAACTTCATTACTTCATTCTCCTTGCTGTCTTTCTTATCTCACGTTTAAATTGCGTTTGCTGAACTCGCTGCTGTGTCTTTAGCTTCTTTCGAAAAATTACTCATAGATCAAATTTGTCATTCTCTATCATGATCACTTGTCTGCCTCCCAGAGACAGAATCCCTGTGTAACCTTCCCTCTCTATGGTCTCCTGCACTCAAATCAAATTTATATATAGAGAGCGCCTTCCCTGCTGCACCAGGCCACATTTCTATGCAAAAATACATCACAGCCATCAGCTTCAATCACCCTCCAGAGGCTGCAACAAATAATGTGTACTAACTGAACTGCAGTGGGTTCATTTCACTTGCCTGGATACAATTAATGTGAGGCCACTGAAACTTAATATGTGGTCCTAGAAGTGAAGTATAAGGGTGTCCTAATCAGCAGAGAGTATGCCTTCAAAGGACATTTTAAATCAACCTTTGTTCAAATGTATTTTATTTATTTAGGGCATGATTTGTTTATTTAAAAAGAGAAAAAAGAATATGTATGTGTGACTGTTCTTATAATCCTTGTATAAAAAAGTACTTTGTAGTCTTGGTTTTGAAAGCTGCCACACAATAAATATTTAGCTAACAACTGATTTCTATTCTTAAGGGTGACTGCAAAATAAAGACTTGCATCTGCTTCTTATCAATATTAGACACTTACACCGGTTACTCGCAGCACACCTTCTACTGAGGAGAAGAGAAGGTAAAAAATTCCAACAGCTACTAGCCGATGTACGGTGGTGCCCAACCTGGGCCTAAGCAGAAGGGAGAATAAAACAGTGCATTAATACTAAGAGCTTGTTTAAAACAAGTAACAGCAGTGGGTTATCCACTAGAGACTATATACAATCAGGTAACCTTTCAGGAATCAACTCACTTGACTATGCCATAGCCAAGGCTTACAATGAGGACCAGGATTCGAGCCAGAGATCTTTTGAGTGCAGAGAGCAACTCTGCAAAAATCACAGCCCCTAGCACTGCAAAAAAAATAATACAAAGAGAAAAACAGATGCCAAAATATGAAAAGGAAAAACCAAAACCAAACAAACTTATACCACAAACAAGAGAGCGTGGAAAATCTGCCAACCGTAGTCTCCTTTGTAATGGATGCTTTGGTATTCAGAGTAGAAAACCGCTTTCTCCAGCATGCCGAGGATAATGACGGCACCAATCCAGAACTGGATCCGCAGCAGATCCCTCCAATAACAGGCGCACCAGAAGAGCCAGAGAGCCCCAAACAGCACGTAAACAATGCACATGACCATGAAGAACTGTGATGGGCGCAAGAGTGGGAGACAGTCTCAGCTTTGTCATCGATAATAAGTAAGCTATACACTCAGGTTCCAGTGCTATGGTGAAAGATTTTACATGTCTGAATTCATCAACTCCCTTTACTCCTAGATATAGCAATTAAATATTACAGAAAATGAGGATTTATACCATCATGAGAGGCCAGTCTGCTGGAGAGGAGTACTCATGTGGACCTTTCATCTCCACTTTCACTGGGAAATAAAGAAAGGTGCGTTATTGTTTAAAGAAATATGATTCTAAAGCTCTTTATGCAAAATGGTTGTTTCTCACTTGAAAAAGTAAAGCTGGACTGCTCTCCTCCCTCAGCTTCATCATCAGCGCCACGAAACAAAGGCTGCACCTTCACTATGAACAGATAGGGACTGTCTTCCCAAGCTTTGGCCACTGCACTGATATCCTAAAAAAGAAGATTTAGACTTTTAAATCTGATGAATGAAGCAATTTCTTATACTTTTTATAGATTTATTTCTTTGCATTGAATGAGACAGCATATAATTTTGTTGTACTTTTGGTATAATGACAATAAAGGATTATCATTATTACACTTGTTCCCATGAGCACTGGAATATAAAATACCCCCAGAAAGGATTAAAACTTTCCTCAAAAAATTAAAAATATGACGTTTATTCACTGTTGTAATGTCTTACCGGTTTTTCAGACCAAAAGAAGCTCTGATTGGATGGGTCACTCTAAGAGAAAAAAGTAGTTTTAGGGCTATTCTGATAAGAACAATGAAAAATTATAATAAGCGTCTAAAGATCAGTGTCGATCACGCACCTTTGGGCTAGTCAGTGGCTGATAAGGGTTGAAGTCTGGGTAATAGACCTAAAACAAAGGCCAAAGTAAACAAATACACATGAATAGATATGCATATATAATATAGTGTATGCAGGAAATCTCTGAAAAAGCGGTTTCACATGTTTAAAAACTGACTTACATCAGTATTGGATAACTGCTGCACAGAAACTGGACTATTACACACACATAATAAATGAGTTTATGTGCCATCTACAGGACGGTATCGTTGTCACTGACCTTTGGTAGCAAGAGAGAGGAGCAGTTGTCAAAGTACATGTAGCCCTGACTGTAGAAGCCACTCCAGCCATCTTTCAGCATGTGCTCCATGCCAAACATGTTCCTTGCTTTGTTGTCCTGCAAAACAGTGTGTTAAAACATGTACTTTATGTTATGTTTATTATAATGAACAGACAGGATGTTATTGCAATGATACTTGACAATCACAGCAGTAACTGAGTTTACTGTATTTCAACACATTTTGCTAAATATTTGACACCATATAAAAATGACCATTAATATGCATATGACAATATTTTACACACCAGCTAAATAATGCTGAATAACAAAGACAAAAGCACCAGCCTTCACAGGACTCATTGAATAGTGCAAACACAGGCAAGTAAGTGGAACCTAATTTCAAAGGCCCAAAGTATTTCAGATAGTAAATACATTTTTTGTAAGCTCCAAACATCCAAATCACAAACAGGGTTTATTTTTTCTCTTACAAAACAGAAGTGTGTTCATGCGTCACATCAAACCCACACAGTAAAACTGACTAAATCTGAAGGTATTCATTTCATTTAGATCTTTTTTATTTAATAAAAATTTGAAGTAGGGCTGCTCAATTAATCGAATTTTAATCACGATTACGATCTGGGCTTTCAACGATCATTAAAAATGACTGAGCCGATTATTAGCCCCTCCCTCATTTATCCGCGACACCTTAAAGGCCGGTCCGTGAAAATATTGTCGGGCATAAACCGTCCGTGGCGCAAAAAAGGTTGGAGACCGCTGATTAAGAGGAAGCTCGGAAAGCTAAGCAGAAGTTATTTGGAGAGTGACTGCCGTTGGTTGAAAAGAGAGTTTAAAAAAAAAAAAACTTCAGTGGTGTTGCACACTATTTTATATTATTTTTTTAAAGTCATTGTTAACCCTTTAAAGCCGGTCAGAGCAGCACGCTCCGTTTTGCGTAACTATTTTTAAATCCCTGTAGAACCTGAACCGTGTAAGCTAGCGCAATCATTTGTTTTGCATATGAAACCGGAGGAGTTGTACTTACATCTTATGCCATCAGCTTGTCCTCGGTCACGGTTTCGTTCCACATATAGCTTTGCAAAAATTGCATAAAAAGCGCTTGCAGGAACAAAAACATAATATTCCAGAAACACGCTTTGCCGTTCCTATCAGCTGTTCGTAACACTTCCCACAGTGAAATGATGCACCTGCTGTTTTCTTTGCAAATTTGCATCATAGGATTGTTTTTTGTTTTTCCTGCAGTATATAAAAATTGCTGTATCTCCAAAATAAAACTATGAAGACACTCAAAATAAATTTCCTGTTGTTGTAAACTATTTTTTGCAACTTTTTTGTATTTAAAGTTTTGAGGGATAAGCCTCTTAAATTTCTCCAAGTAGAAATATATGTAAACAAAACAAAAGCGATTTTCAATTTTTTTGTAGTTTATTGCACTTTTTTGCAATTTATGTAATTACTATGGACTTAATGCATACATATTATTAAAATATGGGCTATAACAGTTGTATTGATGTATAGCAACTTGAAATGCTCCCACAAATGGCACTACAGCATGTAAAAAAAATAATATAAGCTCTGGTGGACTTGGTTCTATAGTAGGTCTTAAAGGGTTAAATAAATATCGTCAAATAATCGTGATCTCAATTTCAGTGAAAATAATCGTGATTATCATTTTTGCCATAATCGAGCAGCCCTAATTTGAAGTGCCTTGTGATAGATTGGCAACTGGGTCAGGGTGTAGGATTAGGCTCCAGCCCACCACAAACCTGAACTAGATAAACGGAAGACGGATGGATGTAAAGCCAATTCTTTTCAGCTTAAATGAACAGCACTTCTAGGCGCAGAGAAGGGGTAAAGGGTGGAGGGTTCGGTGGTCTCAGGATTTTGTCTGTGCTTTTTGCAGTTGCTCTATTGGCATGAAGCGTGAAACCAATGCTGTTGGTCTACATTCCTGCCAAGACATTTGGCTATGAACTCTGGGTAAATTAGGCAGACACAAAAGTGGGAAATAAGCTTCCTTCACGGGGAATGAGCTCAGTCATTCAGGAGGGGCTCAGGTTGGAGCAGCTATCACTCCACATTAAAAGAAGCCAGATGAGGTGTTTCAGGGATATTATACTGAGAGGAAGATCCAGGACATAGAGAGATATTACATCTCTCTGCTGGATGAATGCCTCTGAAGGAGCTGGAGGAGGTGGCCCAGAAAATGGATGGATGAAATAAAAAAATGTAAAGTTTGTTTATTGCAGTGAATTTCCTTCCTGGTGTAAAACTGCTTTGGACTTGCACTACTTTCCTTCCAGCTTTGCATTTGTCTTGAAAGGAACCAAACCTTTCAAATCAAATCTGACTTCAAAGTCTCCTTTGTGCTACAGGTGACCTCCACGTATCCTTGTTTGTGACCCTCACTTAAAGTCTGACAGCAACAAAGCAAACTGCAGCTGAGTCTGAGAAGCCCTTGGACAAGGAGCCAGATGGAAGTTGAGGCCAAGGCCAAGAAATCGCTTCAGGAAGGAAACAGCAGCTGCTCTGACTGACAAACAGTTGATGCACAATATATCTAAATCCTGAAAAAAAAGTTGATAAACCCAAATTTATCCAAAGTATATCTTTGTTTTCTTTACTCAAAGACTCACTAGTGTATACTCACTGGTGTGTTAAAGACCTCATTATAGCAAACAGAGGAGCGCAGGTACCAGCTAATGTTGAAGGCGAAGCTTTTGTTACACCGCCTTGAGTCACCCTGGACTGAAAAATAGAAGAAAGAAGAACATATCAACACTTAGAATCCACTAGCTGATTCAGACAAGCAAATACTTGTCAGTGGAGTTCAAAGTATTCCAGGTTCTATTCTAGGTCAGTGTCTAATTTTCCTTAGAGGAATGCCAGCAATCAGTTCTACAAACAGAAGAGAAATTTATACCACAGTACAATCTGTACTGTGGAGATAAGACTCTTTCAAAGAGTATTCATCATTTTAAACACTGACATTTTGCTTTTAGTCTCTAGATATTCTGTTTGAAGGCTGCAGGGCATCCAACTTATCTGCAATGTCTGGATACCAGTTAGAGCCATAAACACACTGTGGGGGATGTAAATCACAGCACAACAATGCCATCCAGTCAACAGTTATGTGTGAATCCTCACATCCACAGTCCTGGCCATCTACACCTTAGAGAACGTAGGCTACTTACACTTCATGAAGATGGTGGTGTTGGCATACAGGGTCTTCCGAAAAACGGCATCCTGCGTCTGAAACCCAACAGAGACACATCAGTCAGCAGCTCATCAGCGATCACTGTATGTGTCACTTCTGCAGATTCCTTTGAACTGTGTTCAGAAAGAATGTACAATTTACACATAAAGACATGGCTTTATGGACCACCATCTGCTCATGTGTGATGCATACAGTGCTGAGTACTGGAAACAATGGTGCTGCAGCTGCTGTGCTAGACAAATTATGTGATAGCACAATTTTAATAATCTTTTCCTGAAGTTTTTTTTTTTTAAATACCTGTCATATTAAAATTATATATAACAAAATAGGTACAGCGGTTTACTGACACATGCAAACATATATGGAAATACAGCATATAATGGAAAAACAGAAGTGTGCACATTACTAATCAATCAATATTTGGTCTGAACATATTTATTGTTTAACACAGTCTAAACTCTCTAAGAGAAACTTTCTATCTTTAAGTAGTCTTCAGGGATAGTTCTCCAGGCTTCTTCCAAAGCTCTTCTTCTTTGGGAGGCCCATCCATCGCTGAGTGTACCAATGTCATTTGCCTCCACTGTGTTTTACATATGGCTGTAGACACTCACTGTTATATCTCCTCCTTACACATTTATGATGATTTGAACCAAAGGAAAATTAGTTTTTAAAAAGTAGGCAATGTCCTAAGAAACACCTTTGAAGCCCTCCAGATAGCGTGAAAAACTATTACTTAACACCACTTAAAAAATGACAGTCTGGCTCCTTGAACAGAAACGGTCTGGACCCAGAGCAACATATGAAGAAATACCAAGACACCACTATATCTACCTAAGCTTTATAACATGATGCAACACGTGTTTTTTCCACATATCATCGCTTATCCACGTCACGCGGGAGCACCTTTAGCTCACCTTGAATTTAGTGAGGTAATATCACCGGCTGAGCCATCAATTTCTAAACTAGAATTACTTTTCCTGTGTAACACAGATGCAAACGAAGCTGTAACATGACACCACCTGCTTTTACACAATGGAACTGAGAAAAATATCCCCTTTTGAATGTCCAGACAGAAATAGTAGCGTTAATAAAACGAAAATCTGTGGTTTAAAAGCGGGGTAATAAGCGAATAAGCGACTTGTCGTGTCAGACTATCCAAACAAGAGCTGTCAAAGCAAAACGACAGTGTTTGCGCCAGGTAGAAAGAAGGGGCTAGTTAGCTTCTTCGGCTAACAGCTACCATGGAAGACTTAGCTTAGAGACTATGTAATAATGGTAAAGACACATATGTTAAAGACACTGACCGAGTTGATGTCCATGCTCCATACGGAAACCTCTGCCGCTGTCCCAGGACGGAAAACCAAGGCAAAAAACAGCAAACACAACCAATGCACCTGATCATATGACATCTTTTTGTGCATCTACTCCAGGTCAGCAGGCTCGTGTCCGCATCCAGCTCCGGGTTGTTCTCCCTGTAGTTACCGCGGTCGCCACAAGAGTGCAACATAACACCGAATACAGTGAGAGCGGAAACCATCTCCTTCTATATATGCCTGACAGAGGGGCAGGCAACTACCGATCATTATAAACTATCTACAACGCAAACAAAAGGTTTTGTAAAAATATTGATTATTTTGACAGGACAATGCAACGTTCCAATGCAGAGCATGACACTCATGTGCACATAGAGTTTCACATCCACAATGCACAAAAAATATTTGCAATTTACACATTACATACACATAATAGAAAAATATACTGTAAGAAAGCTACAGAAATTAAAAATATGTCGAAAAGTATGAATAATTATACAATTACAATTAGTTAAAATGACTACAGATCTTGTTTACCTTCAATTAACTTTTTCCTTTACTTAAAAAGAAAAAAATTTTATAATAGTTTTGATTTAACTTGTAAATGTAGATGAAAAGCCAAATTTAGGTGATGTGGTATTTTACAGTTACCATTCAGGATACTATTAAAATGTGATCACAGTCTTCTCATTTAAAAACACAAATGAATGAAACTCCCAAAACTAATTCAATTATATATATTTTTTTAAAAATATAACTATGATACCACAGAAATTGTACAAAACATTGTAAATAACTCCAGGAAGAGAGAACTGTTCGCTTCAGTGGGGGGTTTATTTTGGAAATCCAAACCGGAAATGAAGGTTGACGTACGTAGCGGTATCTTGAGGCAGATTTTTCTCTACGTGTTGTTTCCCGATTTGAAACTGTCAGGAAGCTCTTCCTGGTTTAAACAGAAAACAAATGTAGCTGTGCTCAAACACGGAGACCACCCCGACTGTGAAGGACCGAAGGTTTTGTCTTATCTCTGCGTTAAATGGCGGAAGTGAGCCAAACCCTTGCTAGGTACAGACATATGGGTATATAAACATGCTCTTTCCAGCCGCTCTGTTGCAAAGACCACCCTCTTATGTTGACCTTTGACATTTCACAATGAACCTATATGAAGAAAGCAACATAAAGTAGGACAATCATGTAGTTACTGTGTAGTTATTATCAAATACATGGCAGCTGTTATTTAGGTCACTGAAAGGTGCTTGGCAATATTTGAATGATGGGAAGTTTTTGACTTTTATATGTGTGTGCACAGTCAGGTTACAGTTTAACCACCATTTTTGATACTTGGTGCTTTCCATGCCCCAATTGTCTTGAACACCTTGGTCTACATGTATAAGTGTGTGTATTTCACTTTATTTTTGCTTCTCTTATAGTGTTATCCCTAATGTTGAGGGGGAAGGCAAGTTCAAGAAGAGCGGTGATGTTGCTTTTTATAGGTGTGTTGGACATCCTCAGAGTTAAAGTGATTTTATTGTGTTTTGTTGGACTTGTGAAAGAGAGCTGGAGATTAATAATAACTTAATTGATATAAACAATTGAATTTATTGAATAAACAGAAATGTTTAAACTGTTTTTAAAAGGTAGCTTACTAGAATGAATTTGGAGTGTGGCTCAAATACAAAGAGATGAATTTTCTAAGTAAGCGTAATAATCTGTTCTAACTCTAAAACCTCTCTAAAATTGAAAAGTATTTTAATCTCATCACTTACTTTTATTTTCGCTTGCTTTTAAGGCGGCAGATCCAGGGTCCAAACATGCAGCATCAGGCTCTTTTGGACACCATGGTGCTCACAGAGAAGGGGGCATGTTTTGAATTGCTGGAAGGAGACTCGCAGGTTAGTGTTACTTTTAAAAAGTTTCTTTAATCAAGTTTAAACATCATTTAGACTGAACAGATCAATGTTTTGACCTTTGATTATGCCCAAAATTGTGAATGATAATTAAAGAGGAGGGTTTTTTTTATAAGCTTACTCTTTCCACAGACCAGGCTGCTTCTTTCTTTGTCCCCGTCCAAACACGGCATTGTAAGGATAACAATAGATGAATTCCAGCCTATTAAGGCACGCTATCGAGTTCCAGATGTGTTATCTGGGGAACCACAATGTGAACAGTAAGCGATGTATAATTTTTATATTATGATGTCATTTTACACCAGCACTTCTTTAAAATCCAGTCCCCTTTAGTATTTCTGACAGCCTAAGAACTTCTGCGGTTGTGACAGAAATTATTAATTGTTCATATCAATAAAAGACAAGTTTATAGATCTAGGTTTAACTTGTAGGATTGCTGCAACTGGAAATTAGTTGACCTTTACCCCTCATCCTTTGGTAGATTAAGAGTGGAGAAACAGACTAAGGACTCAGTCACGTTTTCTTGGTCTTTCGGACGTTATCAGCTCCGTGTGTGGCATTCTCCTTTCCGACTGGAGATCCTGTGTGAGCAGGAAGTGATGGTCACATTCAACTCTAAGGACAAACTGTGGTTCGAGAGACTGCAGCATCGACCCAGGTGAGATTTGCAAGAAATAGATGTGCAGAAGAATTTGTTTATATCATATAGCTGACTGCATTTCTTTTCTTTTTGTATTCTTCTGCGCGGCTACATGTCACGGTAGCGAGGTAAGAAAATAGAAGCACATCTGAAACTGCAGCTTAATTTTGAAGCTTAATCAGGTCTGTGAATGCCATTGTTCTTTGTTGCTTTTATTTCAGCTTCAAGACGAGCGGAAAAGTTCATTATGGAAGGAGACATTCAAGCAGTTTGTGGATATCAAGGCTAATGGTTTGTGTCTCTACTTGAATATCTTACCAGCAACTATCTCAGTTTGGTGTACTGTGTTCACATTTTTATGATCATAAATTACAGGCAAGTGTACATTTACGGAGCTTAATAATCAAGGAACAGAGTGTACTCTAAACTTTATACTGAGAGACACGTGTTGTGCACCTTCAGGTCCCAGCAGCATTGGAGCAGACCTCTGTCTTCATGGGTTCAGGCATGTGTATGGTCTACCCCAACACGCAGACAACTTGCAGCTCAGAGACACGAGGTACACGCGATGGTGTTTGTGTCTTCATTTGTAAGAGTGTAATTTATCTGTGCATCCTGCAGGCAGGAGAGAGAGTTGACAATTTTTAAAAAATGTGTATCATTTCATAGAGATGGTGAGCCTTACCGGCTGTACAACTTGGATGTTTTTGCCTATCCACTGTACAGTCGTCTCGGACTGTATGGATCTGTGCCATTGATGGTGGCCCACAAGCCAGACAGGACTCTGGGTGTATTTTGGCTGAATGCATCTGAGACTTTTATAAACATTCAGTACTCCCCCTCTGACCATCAGGTGACCTTTGTTTCTGTTCTGTCTGTATTTTACAGTGACCATGAAGCAAAAAGACACTTTTCTACTGCTCAGTAACCTTCTGTCTCACACAGGATGATGAAACCCCTCCAGTTAAACGGAGGCGGGCTGATCCTCAGACCGATGTCCACTGGCTGTCAGAAAGTGGTATGATTGACTGCATGGTTTTGCTTGGGCCCAGTCCACAGCAACTTTTCGCCCAGTATGCTCAGCTGACAGGTGAGAATGTGGCTCTGAAATTATGGTACCCAAAAATAAAAAATAAAATTAAGCTCTCAAAGACTCAAACTTTACTTGTCTGTCCTCCCTGTGTCAGGATATCAAGCCCTGCCCCCTCTGTTTGCCCTCGGGTACCACCAGTGCCGCTGGAACTACATTGATGAAGCTGACGTGAAGTCTGTGGATGCTGGATTTGATCGCCACAGTATTCCTTACGATGTCATCTGGCTGGACATTGAGCACACAGATGGGAAGCGGTACTTTACCTGGGATCCTGTTCATTTCCCTGAACCAGCCAAGCTGCAGCAGCACCTGGAGAAGAAAAACAGGAAGGTCAGTTTTACAGTGCAAAACATGCATCATCTAGAGAAATTGTTTTACTTTGATACGTTAAGATGTTTACTGTTATATCTCTTCAGCTGGTCATTATAAGTGATCCACACATTAAGGTTGATCCTTCTTGGTCCCTCTACTGTGAGGCCAGAGACAGAGGGCATTTTGTCAAGGACAGAGAGGGACAGATCTTTAAGGGCTCATGCTGGCCAGGTAATGGGAAAAAAATCTACTGTTTAATGCTAACAAATGTGACATATGCTGGACTTGTGTTAACATGTTAGCTGCACCAAGGTCCAGAATAGGATAAATAAGATTTTTCTATACTGTGGATCATGCAGAGATACTCTACTGTCCAAAAATAAATGAGCATCAAGGTCCACTTTAATAGACACTGTATGTACTTGATGTGTATGCGTGATGTTGTTATATGCATCTTCTTTGTAAATGGAGTTATGTTAACTTCCCTTACAGGTGAATCCTCCTACCTTGATTTCAGCAGTTCAGCTACTCGAGCATGGTACTCCAGATGCTTCGGCTTGGATAAATACAAAGTAAGGCTCAGAAGGGATCAGCCATGTTTAAACAGAAATGATGCATAATGCAAAGCTACTCAGGACCAGAGCAGAGCAGCAAAAGGCTGAAGAATAATTAAGCTGTGTTCTCTCCTTATGTTGTGGTACCCGTGAAATAAAATGAAACATTTTAAAAGCATCTTAAATAATTTAATGCTTTAGTCCTTGACAAAGATTTCATCTCATATTATTTGTTTTTTATCCACCTAATACTGAGATTGTCTGCTCAAGACACGGTAGTGATGGTGTTTATTTATGATACAGGGATCGACACCTTCGTTGTTTGTGTGGAACGATATGAACGAACCATCTGTGTTCAGCGGCCCAGAGCTGACGATGCCGAAGGATGCAGTGCATTGTGGGGACTGGGAACACAGAGATTTACACAACCTGTATGGTTTTTACCAGGTAAGCAATCTCTTAAAGGGAAGGCCTGATGTGTTTTGTTACTTTAAGCACAAAAAAAATCTGTTTTTCTTCTCTTGATGGAAAAATTTTATTTTGTCCTTCAAGTAACTCTAAAAGTATCTATCAACATCCAGAGTAGTTAAGTTGTGAAGACAGTTTTTAAAGAGTAAAGCCTCCAGGCCCATTCTGTATAATAAAAACAAAATAATTTAAAAAAATATTTTTATTTAACAGCACATGGCGACAGTGGAGGGTCTAATCACTCGTTCGGGTGGCTTAGAGAGACCGTTCGTCCTCTCGCGCTCTTTCTTTGCAGGGTCACAGAGACTTGGTAAGCTATTTAAATGGGAAAATGAAAATGCTTCCATCCTCTCCATATTTCCGCATATCCATGCTTAACTGTGCCATTTGTTGTAATTGGCTTTGTTTGGGATACAGGAGCAGTGTGGACTGGTGATAATGTTGCCAACTGGGAGTATCTGAAGATCTCAGTTCCAATGGTGTTGTCCCTGAGTCTGGCAGGCATAGCGTTTTGTGGAGGTGAGGACACTATTGTTTATGGATTAAATTATTTAAACACTAAACAGAATTATTATTGACTAGTCAGACAGAGACGTTAATGCTTCTTTTTCAGCCAACGTGTAATTTTCTTTTGTTGGTGCAGAGATATTAATGAAGTACACACTCTACTAGCTTTTAACTTAAATCTAGTTGAGTAGTTGCTTATATATTCAGTAAATATGGGATATATTACTGCATACTGTCATGTGCTGCTCTTTATCATTAGTCTCTGTTGTTTTTGGTGTTTCAGCTGATGTTGGTGGGTTCATCCAGGATCCAGAGCCAGAGTTGCTGGTGCGCTGGTACCAGGCGGCTGCCCTGCAGCCATTTTTCCGCGGTCACTCTGCAAATGTGACAAACCGTCGGGAACCCTGGCTTTTTGGGGACGAGGTGACTGCAGCAATCCGCACTGTAATCCAACAAAGGTACTATTAGAGAGGTGTCAGTGTCGGTTACTTGAACACCATGTATAGATTGAACATAACCTTTAGAGCAGCGGTCCCCAACCCCTGGCCCATGGACTGGTACCGGTCCGTGAGAGTTGAGGCTCGGGTGTGAAATTTGTGATTCTCTGGGTTTTTATCGTTAACTCGGTTTCCCTGTGTCTTTTCCCATGTTGTAGTTGTGTCTTATTTTGAAAGAACTATTTACTCGTCACCATAGTGACCAGAGAGCATTAAGGGGCAGAGAGAAGGATGTTACTCTCAATATTGTCAGTGCATTTCAGGAGGACGCTGCTAATAAAGTTACACAATTACACAGTGAATTCGAGTTTATTATTATATTTACAAAATACCACAGTTTTTGTCTTGGTCGTATCATTTTATTTTGTTGTATTTATCCACGACACCTTAAAGGCTGGTCCGTGAAAATATTGTCTTACACTCAACCAGTCCATGGCGCGAAAAAGGTTGGGGACCACTGCTTTAGGGTTGTGAAAAACATTGTTGGGATGTGACATTCGGTGAATCGAAAACAATGTTAGATCCAGTTCAAAGACAGTTTTACTAATGCCAGCTAACAGCAGCTAACAGTGGCTAACAGTTCAGGATATCCTTGACAACTCACCTCAGTATCGCTGTTATCGGACAGATGTGAGATGTTCTGACTTGTTAACTCGTATTGAAGCTGTTTCACAAAGTTTTACAGCCTCCTACCGAGTAAATAAAGATGGTTGCTTCTCATCCGGCATTGACAGCTGAGGTAAAGAGTGGACTGACAACCTGACTACTGACACATATTTCTTTTCTTTTCTAATGTATTGCCAAGTGTTGATATTATTCAAATACATTGAAATATAGTGTGTACAACAATGTTTTTTATACAAAGAATACAAGAGACATACCAGCTGGCCACAGCCATTATGGGGTACACTCTAAATTGAATGTTTTTGATGTCTCTTGGTTGACTAAAACATGTTTGTCCTACAGCAGCCACCGTAGCTAGGATGCAATTTAAATGCAATGTATGCATTTGAATTGAGAGTTGACTTCGGTCTGCAACCTACTGACCTCTAGTGGTGATAGTGTATATACCGTAGCTTTAAAGTAAATGTCAACATGAGGGACAAGATACAAATATACATGTTTCATTAGTTTCTCCTGCTTTTGGTGAAACGCTTATTGTCTGACTATCTCATAATCCAGAGTCCATTTTGTCTGTTCTCAGGTACAGTCTGCTGCCCTATTGGTACACACTGTTTCACCAGGCTCACACGTCTGCGTTGCCTCCACTCAGGTTAGTCCTGGTGCTATATACTGTTCAAATATAGCAGCTGCAACTACACCTCTGTTAACTTAAGTCATTATTACATCTGTGGAGACGAGATCAGGGGAACATCATGCTATTGATGTTCACTTTATAAGGCTCTCATTTTAAAGCTAGTTTAACTTGGATGTGGCCTCTAATTCAATTTAAAACTATACAGACCTCTGTGGGTGGAGTTCCCAGAAGAAGAGAGCACCTTCAGTGTGGACAGCCATTACATGCTTGGTGATAAAAACTTTTCATCTTTGCATGATTTCTCTGTGTACCCTGGAATTATTGCACTTTCATTTTTTCTTAGTTAAACTTTCCTTCATTTTCATGTAGGAGGAGCACTGCTGGCCTGTCCTGTAACTGAACCAGGCATCCAAGAAATCAAAGTCTTACTTCCTGGATCTGACGAGGTACTGTGTTATATATATTTTAATATCGTCATGTTACACTTGATTGTGGATGTTATTCACATTTTTGTCTGTTTTAGATTTGGTATGACATCCATTCTGCACTGGTATACAAAGGAGGCAGGACTCTAAGTCTTCCTGTCACCCTGGACACGGTAAGTTTAGACGACAATTTTACGTGTGTTATTTTTTTAAAGTCAGATGATCTGTTATCTATCTGTCAGTTGACTCTGATGTTTCCTCTGCTCAGGTTCCAGTATTCCAGCGCGGTGGCTCGGTAGTTTGCAGATCAGTAGGAAGTTGCTCCTGCACTGCTGAGCTTCGGCAGCTCCCCCTCTCTGTTACTGTGGCTTTAAACTCTCAGGTAACTTGTGCAGGATACTGGAATCCTACACCGATGGGATCGTATTTCCATACTGATAAAACAATTTTTTTTTCCATGAGCCTGAATTTCGCTCTCTGAATTTCACACAAAGATTTAATCTACGGCCTTTTTGTTGTCCCTTTTTTTCTAATACTGATTCCAGTATGTTTCAGTTGCAGTGGTTACAGATGTATTGAGTTTTTTTCCTGAGGTTTTACTTTGGGGTCCAGATGCTAGTATAGAAACAATTCCACCAGAGGGTGCCAAACATTTATGGACCACAAGCTCTATACAAGTACTTGTCCAAATTTTTATAAAAGCTTGTTTCTGCTGTTAAAAAAAAACATTTTTGCCAAACGTAAGTCAAAATTTGGGGTCATTGTCTCAAAATTTCAACTTAACCACTTGGAATATACAGTTAAGTTAACAAGTCAAAAATGTGAGACAATAAAAATTTTGACTTATGGTTTGCAAAAAAAAGTTTTTTTTCATTGGCAGAAACAAGTCATACCACTTACCATGTGGTTGATCAAAATTTTCCATAACAACCTACAACGGATTATACATCATGACTACTAGAAAAACAGATAATCAATCAGTGTGTTCTATTTATTTCAGTGAGAAATTCATAAATATCTTTCAGTCATGATTCAAAACCTACAGTTACAGTTACCTGAGTAAAAGAGAATGGAAATAAAATAATATACTTACTTATTAAAATGTTTTTTTATTTTTATAAATTGTAAATATATATATTTTTAAACTTATTTCATTCAGTTCTCCCGGTCATTGTTATCTATTTATATTTAACTTAATTTTAAAAACATGATTTTACAGTCTCACATAGTTATACTAATAACAGAACAATTATTCAAATTCACTCATTTTCATCAATAATGATCATGTATTTGTTCATAATTACTGTCTATGTAAATCAAGATTTTCTTAGTTCACTGATGTACACGTTTGCTAAACTGTCTGTGTTTACGTCATATTCATAATATTATGCAATGTGTTTCATCAGAGACTTGTGCCATGGTGCATATCAGTCAATTAATTAGATGCAGGCTAATAAGGATTTATTTAAATGCATTATTTTATGTAATTAACCAAATTCGGAACAGGACTGTGTGTAATGTATCAACTTGTTGCCTTTGGCTCATTTCACTGATATAATTTCAGCCTTTTGGAAAGAAATTGCACATGTCTAAACTCTTTGTATTCAATAATGCTAATTAAGGTAGAAGCTGTCTGTATACAGGTTTATTTCAGTCCCTGCTCAAAGATTTGAAGGTAAACTAATACTTATTAAAATTGAGTTTTTATTATGCCAAATCTTTAAGCTACAACTACTGGGAGCTTTTTATGCAAATTGTGACATTTGCATCTTTTAATTAGTGAAGCCCTAACTGCAGTCTCCTCTCTCCACAGGGCACTGCTGATGGTGAGTTGTACCTGGATGACGGCCACTCGTTCAGATACCGTGACAGAAAGGCCTTCTGTCTGCGCAGGTTCAGCATGCTGTCAGGCCGTCTGCTCTGCCGGTGAGTCACATTCACACTTCCAAGATGGGCTCCAGTTTTATGCCACGTGTGAAAAAGAGAGACTGTTTGTCATGTTAAATATTTTTAAGAAGAATAACTCGTGACAATATGATTTACTGTTTTTGGTGCTGCTTGTCTCAGTCCTGCCAGTGAAGAAGGAACGTTTGACTGTAATACAGTCATACAGTCGGTCACCATCCTGGGGGTCAAGAGCAAACCGTCCGCAGTGATTGTGCATGCATCAGGTAAGGAGATCTGGCATTGATGTAAGGTTTATGGATAACTGACATTCACAATAAAAGAAACACCCACTTATACCAGCATGACTCCAGAGAACAAGCCTCCTAAACAACCACTGTCAAATAACACATGCAGTTACTGTGTGTCATGTTATTCTGGTTGGCTTTTGAGATATATCTGTGTAGGAATGTGTGTTTTTAACTTCAGTAAATAATTTAAGAATGCATTTTATTGTCCTTGAATGCAATTGGATTTTATTGCCACTGAAGTAAGTTGTGGCCTGTAAACAGTAAAACGATATTTAGTACCCGACCTTTCCTACTGCCTTCCTGTTGTCTGTTTAGTTTCATATATTCCTCTGCATGTATGTTCTGCAGGTTTATTCCCTGTGGTACACACACACATTATTTTAGTAAATGAAACCAGGTTATTCTAGAAAAACAACCAAAGAAGCAAAAAGAAAGCAAATGCACTTTTAAATTATTAAAGTATTTCAGTTGATAAAACAACATTTGCTCATTTTATATTTGATGTTTCAAAAAGTTGAGATGCAGGACAACAAAAGACAAAAACGTTGTTTCATGCAAGTATAAAAACACTCATTAACTAATTAGATTAACTGATGAAAGGTCAGCAATATACTCTACATGTCTCTCCCTCTCCCTGGTGGGAAGGAAAAAGTATCCCCCCTGCGTCTTGAAATCAGTCTACGACACAAACAATAAAATTGGAAATTCACTTTCAGCAATCCTGGTTCCACAACAGCAAATGTGACATAGACAAGTCAACATGCCCCAGCGTTTCCTTATGAAAACAATTAAATAATAAATAACAGAATTGAGATTTAAACCTTCTTATATCACCTTTTTGATGTCTGTGACATCCTGTAGTTCAATATCCTCCCTGTAAATTTGTCTCTAAATAAATCTTATGTGGACGGGTTTTTGTCTTTAGAGCTGATTGTGCAATTGTTGAAAAACATCAGTCCTAACCTGACTGTAACTCCCTGAATAATTCACAAGTTAGAACTTGCGACCCATGATGCTGTAAAACACATGACAGTGGGGGTCATTTTCACAAAATTAATAACTTTTAAACTCCAAAAATCTGCTGCTAATATCAGGATCAGATCTATGGGACAGGGTCACTTCCTTCCCTGAGATTTGCAGAGGTGCGTAAAAGAGAGCGAGGTGATGCTGTCTGTCAGTAAAACAAACTATAACAGGAATCTAACAATCTGGAGCAAAATATGTATCTATTTTTTAAAACTAGCAGCATTTTGAGCTGTTGCATTTTGACATAATTTCACATTAAACATGGAGGTTAAATAGCACAGTGGAGTTAATTTTGGCATGTTAAACTGGTTGTAATGTTACGTTTGTCTTCTGTTTTTCCCCCACAAATCTCATCCTGTGATTGGGTAAAAACAGTACATAAAAAGGTACCAGATTGGACAAACACTTAGAAATCGTATGTTTTTAAAGGTACAATTGCAAATAGGTGAGAAAGGGTGAAATCAATAATAGCAATAAAATACTCAGATAATCTATTGGTCAAGTCCAAAGACAAATAACCCAGTTGCTATTGCTATTGCTAGTGGTTTCACCAATTTTCTTTCACTACATCCAGAAATAGTAGCTACATTTCTTCCATGTAAAGAAAAAAAGACATTAAATATTTAGTAATGTTGCTTCAATTTCTGTCTCCAAGCTCATCTAAAATGGATTGTGGCAAATGGGAAAACTGTCCTGTCTAATGAGTTGTATCCTCGGCATGACAGAGGAGTAGACCCATGTGTTGTGTTATCAAATGCACAGTTCAGACGACAGCATCTGTGATGGTTACAGGGGTATAAGGGTTAGAGGAACAACATTGACTGAATAATTTAACAAAAGGCAAACTTTAAAGCTGATCAGACTTCACCAAAAAGTAAAAACAAACCCGGGCAGCACACGGGGAATATAAATGAGTTTACATAGGTAACAGATTGCACAGGAACCTTGTTGAATCCATGCCATAAAGATGGTTTGAGTGTATGCTTTAATTACTCCAAAGGAGAAAAGAAAGCTGTAATAGAAACATTTGGAATCTGAGGAATTTGTTCCCTAATCTGTGTATCGATTTAAAAAAACTCTAAAAAGGTAAAGCATCACCGTTTTCCCTTTATCACCAGGTGCTAAGGACATTTCAGCTGCATTTCAGTACATGGAAACCTGCTGCAAGCTGACTGTGAACAGTGTAAACCTCAGAGTGGCGATGGATTGGGAAATACAGATATGATGATTGTGGACATGTCAGTGATTGAGTTTCTTCATCTGGATTTCTTCATCCTATCAAGAAAAGATCCAGTTAAATTACCCACTTCAATAACGGTCAACTACAGAACTAGTCTGAATACATTTGATTGAAAAATAAATTGATAATTGTTTGATGGTGTGGACACTGATGGCATTCAGATCTTATGCTCATTTCTGTGCTCTAAACAAAATCTTCACAAAATTTTAATCACTTTATAAAATAATATCCATAAATCTTTGGACACTGAGATAAATCCAGTTTTTTTCTGTGTACCATAACCTATTGAAATTGTGGTCATGTGATAAATATGGACTCAAAGTGTATGCTCTACTGAAATTTGTGCAGTTATTTACATAGATTGCATTAACTACTAAAGAATCACAGCCATTTGTATAAACAGTCTCCTGTTTTCGGTGGTTCAAATGCAATTAGAAATAAAAATAATTATAAATTAAAAAATTAAATACTTGGAAATATTGGAGATATCCACTGAATAGATGCTTTTCTAAGAAGAAGAATATAGTTATTTTTTAATCATCGTATGTACATTTTTAAATTCTTGTTACAATGTGTAGTTTATACACCATTTCTTTAGAGGTTAATTCTTATCAACTACAGCCTAAGTGCCTTATCTCCTTAATTTAGCTGAACCACAATAGAAGAATCAGTGGCGATCATGGATATATATAAACATCAGTGTTTAGTCCCGAATCCTCTTAGCCCCCAAATCCAAAAGATTTGCCAGCAACAAAACAGTAACGGGGAAAAACATTTCCCGAACAGTCAGGATGTCAGAAGAACCCTGACGTTAGGTGACTATCTAAAACTATTTCTGTATTTAACTTCATTCATGCTACTTTCCTATGATTACATGTTGGCACATGGTTTTCTTTGAGTACTGTACTTTATCTTGACACTGCCTTGTCCCTGTAGCTTTGCTGACTGAATCCTGGTCTGAGAGGACAAATATTTTAAAAAAAATGCAATCTTTTATTTTTATTGAATGTTTTTAAACAATTATGAATTACAAGTTATTTTTAATTCTAAAGCTTGACTGAATAAATAGCGATGTGCAGCTTCGGATGTTGATGTTTCTAACTCTTTTATTGTTGCTGGATCTCCACCAAATTACTATGATAATTTGTTGCATGTGGTGCTCTGTTTATTATTTATTCTGTTTAACGAAATGGATGGCTGTCCATAGCGTTAGCCTGCTCCAGTTATGCTGAGACTGCTCAATGCTGATCTCCATTGAGAATAGGTTTAAATGGATTGAATGCCTTCTGCTGAGGCAGGGCATCTACGGACCACTCTTTACATGCCCTCTGTCGCGGCTCGCTGGCCTTTGTGTCACCCAACAATGATGGCATCGGAGCGCCACTGCTGGGGAAAAATCATTGTTCACTTTGGCCAATGGGGACGCATCAAATGGACATTTACGTGATATGCGAGTTTCTGTGCATATGTGTGTGTGTGTGAATGGTAATGCAAAGGTGAATGCATGTGAAGTGAACATCTCTTTCACACCAAGCGTTTGCATCTACTCTGTGAAGAAGAAAGGGGGGGACGTCACACCAAGAGAGAGCCAATCACATATTAGCTGTTTGGATTTATGCCAGGCCTTTTGGCTTGTAAGACTTTAGTACAAGTGGCAAAAGCCAGTTTTTTTTTTTCCAAAAAAACGCCTGAGACAAGATGCCTTATACGCCATCTGGCTTTTTTTGCGACCGGTTGATCCGGGAACGAGAGAGGAGAGACGGGGAAGGATCTCTGAACAAGCCCTTGCGCTTCAACGGCCAGGACTATAACACCCTCAGACAGGAGTTCCTTCAGAGGAAGACCCTGTTTGAGGATGAAACTTTTCCAGCCACTGTGGAGTCTTTGGGCTTCAAGGAGCTCGGACACAAGTCCAACAAGGTCAAGAACATCGCCTGGAAGAGACCCAAGGTAGGAGGGGGGACTCTGTTGGCACATGGAGAGGCACTTTGAAGTGGGGATGGACACATGGGAGGTGGGATGTTATTTTTGGTACACAGCAAATGAAAGCATCAAAGAGAAACTGTATTTTTCCGGCCTGAAAAAGGAATTCTTTTATGGTGAGAAGTGTTTGCTGCTGTGGAAATTTACCTAGAGATGCAGATGGGATGAAATACTCCACACCAGTTCAGCTTCTTCAAAGCTGAGCTCAGTTTTCTTGATATAGCATCAAATCACAACAACAGTCGCCTCAAGGCTCTTTATAATGTAAGTTAAAGACTCAACAATAATAGAGAGACCCCAACAATCACAAGCACTTGGCGACAGTGGGAAGGAAAAACTCCCTTTTTGCAGGAAAAATAGAATGAATTGACTGCATTCCCAAACAAACTAGGAGGGATTAAGTCTGTTTCATGTTTTTTACTCTAATTTCTCTAATAAGATTGGTACATGTGAAGAATACTACACCCTTATGACTCAGAGACATACATAACTGCTATAAGGCTAGTTCTTGTTCCATGTTTAACTGAAGTATTTGTGTTTATTTTCTGCAGGAAATCTGTGAAAATCCTCAGTTCATCGTTGGAGGAGCCAGTAGGACAGATATCTGCCAGGGAGATCTAGGTAAATTATGCTTCCTCTGGAATTTTAGGCCCACAATTAGATCACAACATCAGGCAATACCAGGTGATTTCTATTATGTGAAAATAGCATTTTAATAACATTCAAAAGGGGAGGGACTTGATTTCAATTTCTTTTTAGCAAACTTCACTCGACAGCTTCTGACTTTTGACAGGATTGGGGCAAGAGCAGATCCAACACAGTCTGCAGTGACAGTCTTTATTAACAGGGTGGCAAAATATCCCAGCGATCCCCTCAGCACGGCCTGTCAGCCTGCAGTGGCCTCCCCATATTGTGCTTACGCTTTTGGAAGGGAATCCAGGAAGCAGCATTTCTCATTGTTGTTTTGTTCAGACAGCAAATAAAGGGGTCCAAATGGGACAAAAGTCCTGGTAGACACTGTTAACCATTGAAAAACTTACATTGTTCACAGCCCTTTGCAGCTAACACCCTGCTACACACCTGGTAAAAAACAAACAAAAAAACACGAGATCAGCACTCGGCAGCGATCTTTCACTCCTGGAATACAAGAAATGTTCAGGAGAGAATTTCCTGTCTGTGTTTCATCTGATTTCCAAAATTTCACTTCATATTCTTTATGTAGGCTGAGGGGTTTTTTCTCACAATTTTCACTGCACTGGAGAAGATTTTAAAATCAAATTTAAGAGTGGAATAACTGCTTCCAAAGACATAATTACAAGTAATTTTTTGTGTCCAGGTGACTGCTGGTTGCTGGCTGCTATTGCCTGTCTCACCCTGAATGAGAAGCTTCTGTACCGTGTGGTGCCCCCGGACCAAAGCTTTTCAGAAGGTTATGGTGGAATCTTCCACTTCCAGGTCAGAGCCACCCGCCTGCAACCCTGAAATTATTCACACAATATACTTGGTTGAAATTTTTATTAATAATAACAATAACTATATTTGTGTAGCTCTTTTTAAAACACCCAAAGTGCTTTACAGTTTGTATAAAACCTCACATTAAAGAAAAGTGTGCAGGCTCTAGCATGACTGATGCACAACATTCATTCATTCCTGCATCCATTCATGCATTAGATGTGAACCACAGCCAAAAATAATGAGCAAAATATTTGAGAGCCGATCAAGAGAATTAATAATATATTAATTAAGAACAATATTTATCCAAACTAAACTGAAATACTTGATTCTATTCTCTACAGTACATAATGATATTTAGAGAAATCCTTGCATCCGCGTGAAAATCACTGCAAAATCAGCACCAGTGATCACAGTTTATCTTCTGTGGATGCAGTTATGAAGTCAAACAAAGTCCACCAAGGTGATGCAAGACTCTAATGTGTTGACATCAACTTAAAAAAATGTGCATATATTTTTAAAAACTTCAGATTTCCCATTCTTTTTTATTCACGTTCTCCACAGTGCCCCAGTTTATTTTGGCTTTTGTCAATACATCTTTGTAAAATCAAGATTAATGAAGCAAATAATGAGGCATTGTTATTCGTTTAGGCATTTTCAAGCTTTCATTCTAGTGTCTCACATACAGTGGCTTGCAAAAGTATTCGGCCCCCTTGAACCATCCAACGTTTTGTCACATTACAGCCACAAACATGAATCAATTTTATTGGAATTCCACATGAAAGACCAATACAAAGTGGTGTACACGTGAGAAGTGGAACGAAAGTCATACATGATTCCAAACATTTTTTTTACAAATAAATAACTGCAAAGTGGGGTGTGCGTAATTATTCAGTCCCCTGAGTCAATACTTTGTAGAACCACTTTTTGCTGCAATTCCAGCTGCCAGTCTTTTAGGGTCTGTCTCTACCAGCTTTGCACATCTACAGACTGAAATCTTTGCCCATTCTTCTTTGCAAAGCAGCTCCAGCTCAGTCAGATTAGATGGACAGCGTTTGTGAACAGCAGTTTTCAGATCTTGCCACAGATTCTCGATTGGATTTAGATCTGGACTTTGACTGATTAGATTTAGATCTGGACTTTGACTGATTGGATTTAGATCTGGACTTTGACTGGGCCATTCTAACACATGGATATGTTTGTTTTAAACCGTTCCATTGTTGCCCTGACTTTATGTTTAGGGTTGTTGTCCTGCTGGAAGGTGAACCTCCGCCCCAGTCTCAAGTCTTTTGCAGACTCCAAGAGGTTTTCTTCCAAGATTGCCCTGTATTTAGCTCAATCCATCTTCCCATCAACTCTGACCAGCTTCCCTGTCCCTGCTGAAGAGAAGCACCCCCAGAGCATGATGCTGCCACCACCATATTTGACAGTGGGGATGGTGTGTTCAGAGTGATGTGCAGTGTTAGTTTTCCACCACACATAGCGTTTTGCATTTTGGCAAAAGTTCCATTTTGGTCTCATCTGACCAGAGCACCTTCTTCCACATGTTTGCTGTGTCCCCCACATGGCTTGTAGCAAACTGCAAACGGGACTTCTTATGGTTTTCTGCTAACAATGGCTTTCTTCTTGCCACTCTTCCATAAAGGCCAACTTTGTGCAGTGCACGACTAATAGTTGTCCTATGGACAGATTCCCCCACCTGAGCTGTAGATCTCTGCAGCTCGTCCAGAGTCACCATGGGCCTCTTGGCTGCATTTTTGATGAGCGCTCTCCTTGTTCGGCCTGTGAGTTTAGGTGGATGGCCTTGTCTTGGTAGGTTTACAGTTGTGCCATACTCCTTCCATTTCTGAATAATCATTTGAACAGTGCTCCGTGGGATGTTCAAGGCTTGGGAAATCTTTTTGTAGCCAAAGCCTGTTTTAAATGTCTCAATAACTTTATCCCTGACCTGTCTGCTGTGTTCTTTGGACTTCATGGTGTTGTTGCTCTCAATATTCTCTTAGACAACCTCTGAGGCCGTCACAGAGCAGCTGTATTTGTACTGACATTAGATTACACACAGGTGCACTCTATTTAGTCATTAGCACTCATCAGGCAATGTCTATGGGCAACTGACTGCACTCAGCCCAAAGGGCGCTGAATAATTACGCACACCCCACTTTGCAGTTATTGATTTGTAAAAAATGTTTGGAATCATGTATGATTTTCGTTCCACTTCTCACGTGTACACCACTTTGTATTGGTCTGTCACGTGGAATTCCTATAAAATTGATTCATGTTTGAGGCTGTAATGTGACAAAATGTTGGAAGGTTCAAGGGGGCCGAATACTTTTGCAAGCCACTGTATGAGAGTTTGATGATTGGAGATTTTGAAATTTTAAGACTTCACTGCTGCTGACTATACGATGTTATCAATGTTATACAATGTTACATGTTTTCCATTAATTTGTGACATATTTTAGATTTAAAGATGAGTTGATTAAAAAAGAAAATAATCGCACAACTTAAAAAGTTCCTGGCAACACTTTAAATATATCATTGTCCTGCCGTTTATTTAAACACGTGATTCTGTGGATT